TTGGTGGTACACAGTAAGAAAGTAAGCAATAAGGATGATGTCTATGTTTCTGACTTATACACTATTTGAATGATATTGTTCTTTTAGGTTGTATCAGATCTTCACAGAAGATAGCAGTGATAACTTTATGCCATCCCATCTGTGTGGGATTTTTTTTTCTCTTGGAAGTTTCTTTTAATCACTCTTTCATCTCAAGTGGAAAAAGATTTTTCAATTTCAAATATAAAAAATTGAAAATTAATACCATTATATAAACCAATAAAAACTAAATCTGATTTTATATTGCTTAGGTCAACACGTACGAGAATGTGATTACCAGATCCATTCACTTTGATCCTCTTACAGTATAGGAATTTTAACTTGAAACTTTCCTTCACATGATTTCAAATCTATAGGGAAATTACAAAATCATTACAGAGAAAGGTTTCTTCTTAATTTATTTGCATATTGAAAAATAATCAGATGAAAAGCAAATGAGCAATGGAGGAGGGAAAAAATTCATTGATAGGGTGATGAGAAAGACTAAAGTATATGATGTACAATCAGGATAGATACATTATGCCAAATGAATTTAGTTTGAAGAACTGTATGATTGATTATATTTTAGATTGGAAAGATTGCTTATGTACGTGGGGTGATCATTTCTATACTCTCTATGGTCTATAATAATATAAACTATGGAAGTTAACCAGTATGTTCTCAGCATCATTTCAACTGAGCAAGGCCATTAAAATCTCACTTTCAATCAGTTTTTGATGAATATCATGAAGACACTCAAAAATACTTATCAATACAAATTTTTCTGGTTACTATATCTTCCCTAGACTAAGTCCTAAGAAGCAATTATCTATTAATTCTTAGCCTGAATGTGTTTTGTTTTATTTTAGGCATCTATTTTATCTGGTTAACACTTAGAGCATGGTGCTAATGAGTCCAAAGACAACAACAGCATCAAAACATAATTTTTTTCTGATGTAATTATCTCTTTCTTCTGCACTTAGACTGCTTGACTTTCTATCTTTATAGTAATGGTTCCACTTCCTTAAGATGCATCAAAACTTTCTGGAATTTTGTATGAAGTTAGGAAAAATAACTGAAGTATTTCATTCTATCTAAAGTAATCCACACTAGTAATATTTATGAATTCAGGAGCAAAACTACTAAAATTGAAACTAATGTCTATTTTAAATTCCCTAATACTGTTCTTGTTTTCTGCAGTTATCCAATGGATCTCAAGATAAAAGACTATATATATTTAGTAATAAGCTGCTAATCATTAAGTCCTTTCTAAATATGTTCTGTCTTGTGCCCACTCTGATTGTACTACTTGCTTCCTAATCCTTTTACTTGAGCATCACTAAGCTAAGAACATTTGAGTAAAATTTAAAAATAAGCAATTGTACTTCCCATTACTTTGTGTGTCACTGGTGCAGTGTGTTCATGTACTGCTGTTCTCAACAACTTTATGGAGTATATAGACCAATAGAAATATCTCAACTAGTTAAAGATATTAGAGATTAGGAGAGTTAAAAGATTATGAGAGACAAACCCATATTGTCTTCAAAATCATCGTGGTATGTGTGGAAATTAAATTTTTCATTTGGAAATGACCAACTCTGTGAGCATTGGTTTACAATGCAAATCAAAGGGCACTTGTAGTTTGTTCTTTACTAGACTGTTAATTAGTGGTTCAATTAAAAGACTGTAATTTACTTAGGAAGATTGTGGTGGTAGAACTTGCACTTAGCAATAGGTTTAAAACTTAAAACCCCTCCCCATAAAAGGAGCACAAATTATTCCAGTTTAGATTATGCCACTGATTAGAATTACCTACATATATCATACTGGATCTTAAAAATAGATTATATCTACAGCTTTCATTTATCAATTAAAATTAAATGAAGTAAATCTTAAGGTTAAGGATGATTTTTTTCCATATTGTTCATGAAACAATTTGATGAAGCCAAACCAAAACTTAAAATGTTTCAGCATTTATAGATGCCAAAACAGCTCACCTAGACTGACATAGTTAACAAAAACAAGCAAACTAAATGAATAAATGCAGACTGTATTACAGAAGTCATGGGCCATTTCTAATATTGGTATGAAACATTGACATTCTGATGATATTTAAAATCTCATATTTATTGAAATTAATACACTGAAAGATATCATTTATTTTTGCCTGCTTTTCCTGTGACTAGGGTTACCTTTTACATAGAAGTCTTATTTCCACAGTTAAGATGGAGTTGACATCCTTCTAAGTGGTCTCCAATGGTATGGAGTAAGTGCCCACTCTCACCATCATTTTCATTGTAAACGAATCTTGACAACGTTGAGTTGCTGTCACAAGCTATCAGTGTCACTCAGTCAGCAGTAGTGTGACCATCAGTCCCTTTGAGATTTTCATCCTGTATCAGGTCAGGCTGTGGGAAAATCTGAACAACTCATTGCATGTCACTGAGGTATAAAGGATAATATTTAAATATATTTTCTATTTTAGCAGTGTTTTTTAACTTGATTATTAAGTAGTTGTAGAAAGAAGTTACAAATCTATAAGTCAGGATATGAGTACAAGGCTTCTTAGTCAATGTCAACCTTTCCATCATTTGCATTTTTTATATTTCAATTAAGATACTTTTCATTGTTATGCATCACTTATACAAGGGATTTGTCATTACCCATACATGTCCATACATTATGCATACATTGTACCCCAGGGACCTCACCCGCTCTTTCACTCACATCCTCTATCCATCTCCTATGTAGAAACATGTATGTGCTTCTGAGTAGACACTAATATACACTGGCTTCTATGGTGATATATGAGGTCTTAAAACAAGACAATTGAAATCATACATTTAATCATTGTGGGAATGTCTTGTTCTGAATAGCCTATTTTTGTTTCTCATTCATTTATGCTAATAGAGAAGAAAGATAAATAATGCAAAAATCACTTAACAGGTGATTTGGTTATATATTGAGTACTTTTCATCAGACTTAGTTTCTTAATTGTTTGCTCTGTTTATTGCCCAAATGAGCTAACTAACACATGATGATTGGTGGAAATGGCCAGGAACATTCTAAATGGTAAGAAATCTAACACTAGAAACCTGATATGGAAAATACCCTTACAAATGATGGCTATTTACACAAAGAAAAAGACACAGGCTCTGTGATGCAAAAGAAAGAAGAAAATAAATTTTCCATTTTCACAAAGTTTTCATCAGAATTGTGTCTTCTATTCCTATCTTAAATTTTACTAATTTTATGGAATAAATATGTAATTATAAAATTTGCACATAGCGAGATTGCAAAGTTAATGTGAAGCCCTCCCCCCACCGTATTTGGATAGTGGTACTGAAGTTTGAACTCAAGACTTTCAACTTGCTTTACACGTGCTTTATGTCTTGAACCATGCCTCCAACCATTTTTGCTCTGGTTATTTTTGAGATAGGGTCGTAAGATAATCTGGCCTGGGCTTTGTTCCTCTTATTTAGGCTCCTTGCCATAGTTAAGATGGAAGACGCACACCACCATGCCCATATTCTCATGAGAATTCTTCCATACACTTTTTTTTCTTTTTGTCTAAGTTCACAGTCCATCCTATCTGTCTCACATGTAGCTGGCATGACCGTCTTGTAATGCCTCCTTTAGTTTCTGGTTGATACGGAGTCTCATGGACTGCCTTTGAACTGCAGTTCTGGATCCGCGTCTCCCCAGAAGATGGGATTACAGCTTTGAGGTACCAGCACCCAGCTACCATAAAAATAACCAAAGTGACTCATGATATTCTCTTGATATTACATACATTTGAAATTTGAAATAAATTGCTTATTTAACCAGTATGAATGTCACCCAAAGGCATGTCAGAACTGGGTATAATAGTCCCTATATTCCAGCACTTGGAAAGCTGAAGAAAGGTGTGAAGTTCTCAGGCTCGTTTGGGCTGAAAGTTAGTTTAAGGCCAGCCTGAGATACATAGCGAGATGCTGTCAGCAGTAAGGATGGGGATATACCTCTGTGGTAGAGCAAATACTTAGCAGGCAAAAAGCTCTCAAGTGAATCTCTGGCAATAGGAATGCCCAATACACAAAGTTACAAGTAGGGAAATAAGGTGTATAATTTGCAGAATGTAAAAGTGAGCCTTTCTATCACAGTGGTAGGAACCAGCTAGAGAAGTTTCTTTTATGTGAGTCATTTCTGTATGACGCTGTAAAAATATTTTTTTAACCAAAAGCTGTCATGGTTTCTTGTAAAATAATAAAGATAATAAAGATATCCATTTTAATTGATTCTTTTCATTGTTTAATAAAATTGCTTTGTTTGATTGCTAAAGAATTTGAATTGAATTTCCATTATCCACTTCTGAACAATTTACTCTAAGATCCAGACAGTATTGAGCTAATGAGTTTGAATTTATATTGAACCTTAACTGTCTCCATCAAGTGACTGGGAGAAGAATCATGGCAGTAGCTAAGTATTCTTCATTAAAAACCATGTTGTAGAGATTTTACAATGAGGATTTTAGTAGAGCTAAAGAATTAGATTGGAATTTTACCATCTTTGCTGTTTCCAAGTCTATTATATGGAAAAAAATATATGGAGAGAGGTGAAGGGAGGGTGGAAAGTCAAGGGAAAGGAGGGAGACACATTAAGAGAGAGAGGCTCAAAGTAGCGTGCTCACATAGAACATTCAAAGCCCTGTGTTCAGTCGAGAGTGCAATACATGTGCACACACCAACAGAGTATGCATGTGTGTATACCACAGAGAGTGTACCAGAATATTCTTTGAAAAATTCAGAATCCTCCTCTAAATATTATGAAAACAAAAATAATACAGTGTAGGGGACATTTTCGTACTTCCAGTTACTTCCCTGTAAATCCAATTTTGCCAATCGCCAACTGCGGTACACTTTTCAAACTCCCATCTCAAAAAGTACTTCTTAGAAGATTCAGAGCAATACTGTATCCAAGTAATTTATATTCGTTCCCCACAGGCAACCATGATGGTTCTTGGGATAAGGAAACCCTGCAATCTCCCCCATCCCAGGGACCGCAGGCCTCTGTCTCCCACCCCCGCACACCTGGAGTGCGTAGCCTACCAGTTAGCCAGCCTCTCAGCCACCTTCAGCACAGACACCTTCTGCCCAATGGTACGACGGCGTTTCTTAGCACTAAAAATGGTAGACTTCAAAAATGTGTTTTTTCCCTTTAATGATCAAATAATAAATAACATAATCACAGGATCTGATACATGTAGACTATCAAGTTTGGAGAAAAAGATGTGGTATGTTAAGCAAGCAAGATTTTAGATGGATTGGAGGGACAACAGGGCACACCCTGGGCTGTTGGTAGTAAGCATAGGAAAGTGCACTAGGACAGCACTAGGAGCTGTAAGCCTAGTTTTTCTGAGTGGTGAGTGGGTGTTAGTTTACACAGAGAGGAAAAATACCTGTCTTAGTTTTGACATTTCAGATTTTAATGCCTTCTTTTGATGACAACTTTAATAAGTGAGATATGCTATATTTCATACTTTTACTTGGGAGTATAGCACTGATGTTATTTGTGCATCTTTTTATAGGACTGGAACTTCCTTTTATGATGATGCCCCACCCTCTAATCCCTGTCAGCCTACCTCCAGCCTCAGTCACCATGGCAATGAGCCAGATGAACCACCTCAGCACCATTGCTAACATGGCTGCAGCAGCACAAGTGCAGAGCCCTCCATCCAGAGTTGAAACATCTGTAATTAAGGTATTTGTTTTCTACAACATTCTTCTAGAATGTTCATCTTTAGCTATCATTTCCTATGCCAGTTGTCTTAGCCCATCAGTAAATTTTAACTCAAAATTCTTACTCATAGTAATTAGATTATGAGTAAAATCACATGAACTAAGACATCCCATGGAAGAATATTTAAGCAGGATAAGATTAGTTTAAGTTCTTTCATAGAGAGAACATAGGATATTAAAGGATATAGTTTAATGTATACTTGTTCTTGCAACCATATATGTGTAGGTGTGGTGCACGAGGTCCTTTGTGTAGTGTTATAAATTTAAGGTGTGACAAATCTAGCAACCCTAAGGGTTTAAGTCTACCAATTATTTGCAAGTTACCTTGAACATGTAGCTCAATCGTTCCTATTCTATTCCACCTCTAAAAATGAATACTACAGTATTCACTCCTACAGTGGCTGTGTAAACTAAATGAAGTAATAAAAGTGAATATTGCAAAATTAAAAAAGTCACCAATTTTATATAAATTCACATTTTTGTCCATATACACATAGGTAATAGACGTATATGATGTATAGTATATATTATATACCTTTCTATATAATTATTGCTTTTAGTTTGAGTACTGACATTAAATATAGAAGAGAATTGAACAAGAAAAAGAAGGTATGGCTACACAGTCACCACTAAGGATAGATCAATATATTTAATCACATACCCCACATTTTAATCATGAGGTTACAACATTTCTAAAACATGGACTCAACCTTCGTCTTTGTAGACTGCTAAAGAATTGATTCTTTTGAAGCCAATAGAGGTTTAAATAAAGGAGAATCAAGTGAATAAGACTCAACACATGTTCTTTACAACATAAACTGAGTCTCAGGACACCTCAGTCATAGAAATTTTCCAGCAAATCAATGGGTAAGGTATGGAAGTATCACTGCATTGCAAGTCTTATGAAGTGCAGAATCTGGATCATTGTTGTCAGTGGTGGCTGGCAATGAACAAAACACCCAAGCACATGTAATACCCTCCCAGTAGAAGCACACAACTTCATCTGTGGTATAGGATCACTTCCAAATAAACTCGGGTCAGGGTTCCAGATCTTATTATTTAAGAAGTTGAAGAGCAGAGAAACATGACCCATGAAAACTTAGACCCATGCCTTCATTGGTACTTTAGCCTCTAAGAATATGCAGCCTGCCTTACTACTTGAAAAGCAGACTGTGAATATTTGTCATACACAGAGTAATGCCAATGAATGACAAGACTGACCAGATGAAAATTCACCTTTACTTACCTTCCTCTCCTTCCTTTTTTCCTCTACCCTTTCCTCTTGGTTGTGGAAAGGAAGCAGTCTTGCACACTACCTCCATCATTCAAAAATGGATTTTGAACTCAAGCTATCTTTATTGTGCTTCTGGCCAGGACTCTACCACTTGAGTTAGCCCTCTTTCACTTTATTTTTCATGTAAGTTCTCATACTTCATGCCTGGGCTAGCCTGGGTCCAAGTTCCTTCAGCATAGTTACCAATACAGAGCTGAAACAGCACATCCAATTTGTTTGTCTTACTAACTTTTTGCATTGGGCTGGCTTTGAACCAAGCTCTTCCTTGTCTCTGTCTTCCTAGAAGCTGGAATTACAGGTGTGTTACACCACACCTGTTCTTTACCTTTTATTAAGATGTTTGTATTGCATGGAGCCTCATGACCCATGTGTGCAATCCCTGAACTCACAAGACAGAGGCAAAAAATGTACAAGCCTATCTAAGCCTCAATTAACCCAAAATGAATTAAGCTAGGCTGGTTGCTGGTGACTGTAATCCTAGCTACTCACGAGGCTGAGATTTGAGAATCCCAAGCAGGAAAATCTATGAGACTCTTATTTCCAATTAACCACCAGAAACTGGGAGTAGAGCTATGGCTCAAAGTGGTTGAGTACTAGTCTTGAGTAAAAAGCTTAAAGAAAGTGCTCAGGTCCTAAGTTCAAGCCTCATGATGACCAATACCACCACCGCCACCACCACCAAAGCTAATTGTTATTAATTAGTGATGAATTATACCTCATGAGTCAAAATTACATCTTGTGGCTTAATGTAACTTTATATTGCTGATTAGAGTCCTGAAAAGTTACAAGGCTGCCTGAATTATCCCCTAGAAATATGTTAAAAAGACAATGTAGAATAAAATACAGTTGTTTTAAGATTATCTTTGTGTGTTCTACTAGTTTCACTTTGAGTGAAATTGAGTATTTCTTGAAGTCCATTATCAAAATAAAATTTAAAAGTATTCATCGGAGACTCAGTTTAAGGACTGTTTGAGTAATAAGACTTTTATGAGGAAGGCTGCTAGGTCATGGGCCAGATATAAGTGTTCTCACATCATGCGTGACTCTTCAAGAAACCTTTTAACATTTTCTTGAATCCAGCTTCCCAATTCTACAATGTATCCTCTTAGCACACTTTTCCCGAGCAAGGGATTTCAAATGTCACATTCATGTAGCATAAGTGACTGCACTCCTCCAACATTTACCTTCTTAGCTTTCCTGACAGGGCATAGACATCCAAGAAATGTTCATTCAATAAATGAATTTCAGTCAGTCCTATCCTAAAGTATGGGAGTTTGGGAAGGAAGGGTGTGTGTGTGTGTGTGTGTGTGTGTGTGTGTGTGTGTGTGTGTGTGTGTGTGTGTGTGTGTGTGTGTGTGTGTGTGCTGAGCCTAAGATGACCAGTTAAAACAGTCCCCTATCCTCTTGACTTAGGACCTTCCACATAATTGTGCAAATTAAGGCATCAAATCTTTGGGTTCACTTCAAAACATGTGAGAAACTTCCCAGACTATCAAGAGTATCCATATATGAAAACTATCAAGAATCTGAAACATGTCACTTAAAAGCGTCAACATGTATTATTCTGGCCTTACAATGGTGGAGGTGGTATGTGTACTTAGGCCAATCAATGGGGCTGGACACAGGGTCAGTGACCCCCAAACAGTTCTGAATTTCAATTGCTCATGCTCACAAATGCAGGGCATGATGTTAAACTAAAGGTTCATTAGTGTAGACTGTCTCATTCGTGAACAAATCAAGGTAAACACAGTATCCCAGATGCACTATTATGCTTTTAGAGAGCATGATCAAGTTGACTCACACACGAGTGTTGTGCATCACTGAGAGAGTCAAGGACCAAAATGTTCCTAGACTAGAAGAGGAAATTGTACAGAAGGAAAAGATGTTCCAGAAAATCGAGTGAAAACACTATGGCACAGGAATAAATTTAGCCTGAAATGAATGAAAAGAAAAAAAAATGTAGTAGTCAATTTCATCAGTTTTGTAAACCAAGAAGTTGTATTGAGATTATCTATTTAATATTAGAAATACTTATTTCCCCTTTTCTGTCTTATGTCAAGTGAGAATAATCTCTAACTGAACTATAGTTATAAGTAAGAAGAACTACAAAGAGAGAAAAACAAGTTAAAACTAAATAAAGTATCGGTTTAGAAAAATGGGGTGTTTAAATTTACCCAAAAGGTATTTTTTACATGATGAATAAGTTCACATGAATTAATGCAAATTGTAAGATATTTAATTAACCACATGCATAATACTGAATATTTTACATTTTAGTATTTTAGAGTACACTGGTTTTAAACTCCATCTTTGATTCAGAATGATCACAGAAGCCATGACTCTTGTGGGTACAGCTCTGCCTTTAGTGTAATTCTCTTACCATTAGTTCACTAGTTTGACCTTTCTTCAGCGAAAAAGGACACCCTTTAAATTTTCATTTATTATTGTGGCGAATCTTATAAAGATGGAACATTGCAAAACAGTGTGTTTTATTGATTGGTAGAGTTGATGTAGAACTATAAAGCAGGGTGTTGAAGTAGTAAATTAAATATTTTTCCTCTCTGGTCTTCTTAGGTCCACCTTGGAAGTCAAAGAGTATTACACAAATGAAATGATAAATCCAGTTTACATAGCTTCCCTATAGACATCCAATGACTTCTCTTTTATTGTGTCTGACTAAAACCTATTATCTATTTTGTTTCAATAATAATTATGGGATTCTCTGCTAATTCTTTACTGTCTCCATTATTCTCCATCTTATAGAATATTCTGGAAAGGCAAGCATATAAACATGATAAAAGAATTAAGCTGTTGAAATAAATTAATTTATTGTAAAACACAATGTATTCAAATCTTACTTGCTCAATGGATTTTACTTTAATGAAATTCTTCAAAGAACAATACATCATGTTCTAAAGATTGAAATTATACATTAAGTGAAATGACTGAATATGTTGTGCCTCAATTTATAGAAAGTTTCAATTGAATAATTAAGCTTTTAAATCATGAAATTTGCATAAATTATTTCAATAAATAAAAGCATTAAGCATTGTCTTTGTATTCTTTGTTGTTAAATATTAAAGTACATTAAAGAAAAAGTACGATAAATTAAGTACTACAATTATACTAATATTTAATTAGCCTGAGACTGCTTTTACAATGCAGTTTACATCAAAATAATAATATATTTTTATTTAGTTTATTATGTAATCTGTAGGATTTGGCATATATAAAAGAATGAAGCAATAATTCATGAATTAAGGCATCACCACATGAGACTTTGACAAATATTCTAACCAATGAGACATTTTTCTACTAATGAAAAATGCTAAAGCAATATGTATTTAAGTTTTTATGAATTAAATATCTAAGGAAAACAAAACAGTCTCATACTTTCTATTAGAACTGCTAAGGAATCTATTAAGACAGAAAAATCAAATTTGATTTTAAAGAGATTTATTTCTAGCTTGTAATTTATCTCTTTCAGCCAAACATATGCTATTTACAAAGAAAGATGACTAATGTAATTATGATGAATATTGGAGTATCTTGATAGACATTGATGTAAGTGGGTTTTTTTGAAGATAATATTAAATGTTATTTACTTTGGAAGATCCTATCTTTATAACAATATGGCTATTGTATGTTCCAAACACCATATTGTATAATTGTGTAAACTGTGTTAACTGCTAAAATGATCAACAATTAGCTTCCTCCTTTCATTTTTATTAGCTGCTTAAAGACTTTTGTTTGACATCTATACACCTGCACACAATGTACCTTGTTCCCACTCACCCCCTCTCCTCTGTGACATTCCCATAGCTTCCCTCTCCCTCTCCTTCGTCAGCTCCATCATTCCATTTTCATGCAAGTACATCAAGTATTTGGATTATATTCATCCTCCTTCATCCTCTCCATTTGCCTTCCCTTTTTGCACTAGCGCTCACACCCTGTACTGGATCTGTATGCATTCCTGTTATTTTTAAAAATAAGTCTTTTATTGTGAAAATACTGTACAGAGGGGTTACAGTAATGAATACATTTCTAATCAAGAAATCTTTCCTCCTCCTTCGCTTTTCCCTTACCATGCCTTCCCTCCCACCTCCATAGCTACACTTCCCAACCCTTAAATTGTAAAGTTAGTTTTTCAACATAGTGTCTTGTACATCTCATTGTTACAATGGGTCAGCCTGTATCCCTATGCTAATTGTTCCAAGGACCTATATCAAAGTATTTCATACATTTATGTACAGTACTCAAATTGGATTGAGCTGCTTACTCATAGCCATTCTTTCCCTACTTTATTAAGAAATATATACAGATAGTTGGTGGACTGAAGAATTTGACATTGGATCAATATTAGGCTTTGCTCAAGATCAAAGATGTCTTCTAGTACAGTCAAAGGCTATTTTCTTGTTTGCATTCCTGATTGTATTAAGACAAATGAGCATTTATGAATTCAAGATCCAGTGAATTCTTTACCCTTTTCTTCTCTCTCTCTCTCTCCCTCTCTCCCTCTCCCTCTCTCCCTCTCTCTCTCTCCCTCTCTCCCTCTCTCCCTCTCTCTCTCCCTCTCTTTCTCCCTCTTTCCCTCTCTTTCTCTCCCTCTCTCTCTCTCTCTCTCCCTTTTTCTCTCTCCCTCTCTCTCTCTCCCTCTCTCTCTCTCTCTCCCTCTCTCTCCCCTCTTGTGGTCCTGTAGGAGCGTGTTCCTGACAGCCCCTCTCCTGCACCATCTCTGGAGGAGGGTCGAAGGCCTGGCAGTCACCCCTCATCACATCGCAGCAGCAGTGTGTCCAGCTCCCCAGCTAGGACTGAGAGTTCTTCTGACAGAATCCGTAGGTCTCATACTTTTACTTGTCACCATTTTAAGCTTTATTAGGTGCAGCTGGGATTTCTAATCAAAATGCCCTCACTCCAAGTAGTTCTCAGATACATCATGCTGAGAAACTCAGTAGCAATAGCCAGCCATCTCTCAAAGCTATGTTTTCCCATTTAGAATATCATGAAGTATGATATGACATGAACAGGTTCTGAAATATACTCCCAATCTATGATGCTTCACATAAAGATTTGAACTATGGTGCAGGTAGAGAAAGTAAGGAAGCTGTTAGATTAGTTTTTGAAGTAAGTAACCAATTGCTAAAAGTCTGTCTCCGAGTATATTAGTGGTAGACCATTCAACTTCATTACTTCAGTCTCACCTCTGCCATTTTTTGTAATTTACTAGTTAAAAATCATCATTGCTTTAATGAAGATATCCACAAAGAGGAATAAAGGAATCTAAATTCAAGACATTGAGTTAAAAGATATTTCTAAGCCATCAGATTTCTAGTGTATTAATATGGAAATTTTAAATCGGCTTAATTGTAGGATGTGATTCCTTAATAATTAGGAATGTATATTGTCACATATTTATGATTTTTATAAAGTAGTTCATATTGAATTTAATCCTATTTTCCCAATATCCCTGTTTGCTCACATAACCAAAACAAATTAAAGGTAGAATGTCACTCACTTAACACACAACTTTGTGTTTGTACAATCATTAGAGAGTTTTTTAATAAAATAAGTATATTAAAGAGAATAGTTTAATGCAGAGAATAAATATGTAGAATGTTATTTGTAGAGTTTATTACTTTACAAAGTCCTATTTATACTCCAAATTTTATTCACCTTTGCAGAATTTATTGTATACATAGTTGGCTACTGAAAAGGAAAAGGCTCTCACTAGGTTGTAAAGGATTGTTTGCATAAGGCAAAAAAAATGTACCCTTCTAACTGTTGGAGTTAGTAAATCATATGGAATTGTGTGCAATAAGGTATAAATAAAACAACCAGTTATTCACAAATAAGCAATTATATATAATATTAAATACAAATGTTTACCTAGCTTTTCTAACCTTATTTTTTTAGGTTCAACAAAGTTATAGTTACTGTTAAATAAAAATGAGTCACTTGATAACCATTCTCAAACCAATAATGACTCTGAAGATTGGTAAATCTCTACTTTAAAAGAGCTTTTATACATTCTTTTATACATTCATGTCACCTTGTTAATAATTGTGTTTTTTTTTAAATTCTGAAAGGAAGCCAAAAGGAGTCCTTGTATGCTTGGACTATTATATTTGTCAGGTAGAAACATATCCATAGTAATTCAATATACATACATATATATTCACACATATACTTCCTCCTTTCAACATGTTATTTAAAACAATTTACATAGATTTTCAACCACACTGTGAATTATTCTTATTTGCTTCTGAGAATTAGGCAGTCAGTAACTCTCTTTGAAAGTACCCCTAACTTATAGATAAGGAGTTATTTTCACATAATGTTCTTATGATATAGTTTTAAATTTTCTGTTTTCCTGTGAAAGTAAGGTTTTGGACTGATTCACCATCAGTTTTTCAAATTCCAAGATTTTCATGGGTAATTTATCATGTGAATTTATGTTGAGTTAAATAATGGGAAAAGTGATTGATCATCTTCAAGTTACAGTGTTTTATCTTAGTAGTGACAGATTATTGCTAATTATACAAACAAGTGATTATTGTTTATATTTTATTCAGCCACTCAGCAAATATTAATTAACCAGTTTTATTTACAAATTTTACTTCAAGATCAAATGATAAAAAAAACTTTGATATCTGTTATAGTTCGTGGGATCTATTCACTAAAATACTATAGTAAAATAGATCCATAGTAAAATAGATAGTACTGAAGTTAAAATCCCACTGGCTCAATTCTAGAAAATAGACTTTTTTTCCTTTCAGTTCACAAGAATATAATTTATTACATTTCGAACTTACAGTGTGAAAGAGCACTCTCATGTTATGAGTGTAGTCAGAGAACTAAAAAATACTGCTTGCTGAGGAGAGAATTTGGTACACTAGACTAAAAGACTAGAGATTTTATGGATAGTGGTTCTGTTAGTATAACTATTAAAAATATTCCAGTGTTACTTTATATTATGTAAAAACAAGCATTTTATACTTGTTTTAATCTTTTTCATTCCCATAGTGCTTTTTAATAAGCTATGATTTTAAAATTAAGAATCCATGAATTTCTTAATAGTTTTGAGACCAAAAGGATTTACTTGAACATTTTATATTATGGTGGTGTTGTATTTGTTCTTTTATTTTATGCTTAACAGCTGTACACCAGAATGGATTGTCCATGAACCAGATGCTCATGGGTTTATCACCAAATGTCCTCCCAGGGCCAAAGGAAGGAGATTTGGCTGGTCATGACATGGGACATGATTCAAAACGGATGCATATTGAGAAAGGTAATTTATAAGCATGTGGCCTTATTGCTCCTATTCTATGTATAAAATAGATAGCAATCACCCGAGGTCTATTTCTACATTATGTAAAATTATGGCATAGAAATACTATTAAAACGTAGGATATATATTAAGAAATTAAGTCTATTCAGCAAGAAGGTGTAAATGAAGAGCTATGGACTTTCTTTTATACAAAGGTAGGTAACAATTTCATTCCCACAATATTTATTTTCTCTTTGGCAATACTGTTTTTTTTGTTGTTGCTTTGTTTCATTTCTTTTTGAACCCAGAACATTGCATTGTGGGCATTCTACCATTTGAAGTGTACTTGCAGCCATACTCTGCTTACTTTTGAAACAGGGTCTTGCTTTGGCCTAACAAATTCTGGACTACACTACTCCCATTTACCCTTTCCATGGTAACTGGACTGAGAGTCATTCACCACTGTATCTCGCTTTTGCTGTTGGGCTGGAGTCTCCTGAACTTTTTGCCCTGGCTGGCCTAGAACTCTGATCTCTCCCACTTGCATTCTCATGAATAAATCACCATTTTTTGCTACCCAGTATCTTCTTAAAGGGGGAGAATTATTTGTCTTTATTGTAATCCCTGAATCCCCAAAGTGATGCCTTTTGTCTTCATTATGTCTTCAGAGACTTTGTTATTTTCTTAGTGTGATAGAACAACAACACACAAAGATTACTGGAAGTCATCTTTAGCTTGAAGTTACAGGATCATTGGATCCATGAGGAAATAGTATAAGTTAATCTTACAATCAATGTACTAGTAATTATTTCAAGAGCGTACTTAATAAATAATAGAGCTTGGCTGTGTAAAGCTTCAAGTTCCCTACCTACATTTTGTTAGCATTGAACTAACTCATTTACAAACTTATATTCTAATATATATTTTATATCATAGTTTATGAAATAATATTATACATTGAAATATTAATTAGTATGCTTATTAGAAACTTACGTTTTCAAATCAAAAGGTTTGAGGAAGTGGTGCTGTGGCTGAAGTGGTAGAGCGCTAGCCTAGAGCTGAAGAGCTGAGGGACAGTGCCCAGGCCCAGAGTTCAAGCCCCACGACCGACAAAACAAAACAAAAAAAAAACTTTGCATGAAATCAAAAGGTTTGAATTGTGAATATAAGTGCCCATTTTTTCATATTACATTCGTATATCCTTTTATGAATATGGATTGAGCACTTGCTCATCTTTTACAACATAAATATAATTGGGTCATATTTAACTAAGATTTAGAGTTATTAGAATATTGTTCATTGTTACTAAACTTGCCTAGTTGAGGATCTGGGTTCAATGCTCAGTACTGCAGGAAAAACTAAAAAGTAAGATTTATACCTTAGAAAAAGACACTTGTAAGAGGGGCACAAATAGTCAACTGTCCTAAGGGTATTCAGAAGGACTGAATATTTAAATAATTAAAGAAATGCTTAAAGTGAGATTAAGCAGGAAATGCTATTTTCTTCCCAAAATACTGCTTTTAAAAAAGTAAAATTCTTACATAAATATTTTTAAATTAAAAGTGAAAATTGTTCTACTAGAATCCTTTAAGGGAAAGAATATTATATTTCTACAGAGTAGATTATGTGCCCCTTGCAACATCAATGAATGACAATATTTCTAGTACTGACATGTTAGAGTCTAAGCTTTAAAAAGTCTAAGAGTCAGGTGCCAGTGGCTAATACCTGTAATCCTAGCTTCTCAAGAGGCTGAGATCTGAGGTCTGCAGTTCAAAACCAGCCTGGGCAGGAAAGTCCTTGAGACTCTTATCTCCAATAAACCACTAGAAATACTTGAGCTGTGGCTCAAGTGTTAGAACACTAGCCTTGAGCTGAAGAGCTGAAAGATAGCATCCAGGCCCAGAGTTCAAGTGCAAGATAGAAAAAAAAAAAAAGAATAATAAAACTGTGAGTTCAGACCATCAGCTGAATTTAGTAATTCAGAGCCAAAGAAATAGAAGATAGTTAAAACATGTGAAGACTACACTTTTTAAATAATTGATAGCAAGGCAAAAGATGGAATTATCTGATCTTTAGAAGGTTCCTTTTAACAGAATATAGAGGAAAATCCTCTCATCATGACAAAAAGCTTACTTACATTACCAGTGATACATCTTATCACGTCAAGGTTTTGTAAATGGTTTTCATGTCAGAACAAAACCCTTAACCATATCTTGAGTGGATTACTAATATTTTTACCAGTATTTTATAAAAGGACATGGTTAACATTTGCCCTTGAAATATGAATCTACTCTTGATTTCAAATATGTATAATTACGGAAATTTTCATGGAATTTGATATTGTTAGTGTTTTGTTTTATGTTGCTATTTCTACTGCATGAACTTGCTTTTATCAACTTTTCAACATACTGAATTACCAGTAAATATTCATGTGCCTTCTAGATTGATTGAATCTACTAAATTAAAATTTCTTTTCTTTCTTGACTACATTTATCATGTCCCTCATAATAGTCCTGGAACTTTCTTACTTCTCATATCTGTATTAAAGAAGCAACTTTATTTAGAGACATTTGTAGAGAAATTAATTATATAACTCATGTCATCTTAGGCTTGAAGTTCTTATATGTAATTTGCTGCCTACCAACTAAATCACTCAAAAGGCAATAATTCTTAAGAAAACAGTGATACTAAAATAGATATCAAAGGCTATTTGTATGCCAAGAATCACTCACTAAAATCTCAATCAGTAACTTTTAAACATTTTATGTTTTTTTAAAGTATGAAATAGCTATTAACTGTATTCTATTAGTTTCTTTCTTTTCTTTTTCTAAAGAACTCTCCATCGTGGTGGGAGGGAAAGGATGGTAGGGGAGAAACAAAGGAGGAGGCAACAATGCTTGCTAAGAAATGTACTCATTACCTTGCTCATGTAACTGTAACCCCTCTGTACAGTATTTTCACAGTGAAAAAACTTATTAAAAATAAGAACTCTCCATCAGCTGAAAGCAGGAGTTTTCCAGCCTTTGAGTTTAGAAATATTAACTACTAAGTGAATTCTCTTTGATTTTTAAAATACAGAGAAGTGCAGTGGGGCTTTGAGCCTAGGGGAGTTTAAAGTACATTCAACATATAAACATGAAAATTAGTCAGCTTATTAAGAAGAAATAGATACATGATACTGTTACAGATGTCCAAGTGGAAACAGAAATGATTTTCATATTGTAAATTTTGATTAAAATTAAGAGTTTGTTCAAGATGTTTGCTGAAAAAAACTCTGTTATAATATATAGCAGAGACTGAGAATGAATACATCTTTTAACTTTCCAAGCATTCTGAGTACTCTAGAATTTTCTGGATTTTTAAGAACACTAAGTTATCTGCTCACTCTTTCTCAATGTACTTGAATAAACAGTAGTTATTTCCATTTGAATGACGTAAATAGACTTCATTTCTGTTTACCTTGCACACATGGTCCACACGTGCTCTCCCACGATCCATTTGTTTTCAATTTTCCATAATTGCTTAGTTTCAACACTTCTGAGAATATTCTTCTTAACTTGCCTGTAAATTAATATGCACAGTTTTGCAAGTATTGAATATATCTACTTTTTAAAATACCCATGTATGCTAGATATGTCTATAATAGTAACTTTTGCCAATATACATTATTAAAATATTTATTTTTGTTAGCTATTGGATACCTAATTTACATTAGTATATTTCAGTCTTGGGTTAAATATTCCAATGTGATATAACTAATTTAAAAGTCCATGGAAAATAAGATAGGCGAAATACAAAAACAACTGCAGTGCAAAAGTTCTGTATATCCTTGTTTGGTTGTACTCAGTTCTATGCTAGAATTTTTACATATTTTTCTTACCTGTATCATAATTTCCTCTATATTTTCCATTGTTATGATAAATAAAAATGTGTTTAATAGGGTATCTCCTGCTAGCATCAGTATTTTAGAATCAATTTGATATAAAGTAAGAAAGCAGTGAGTATACTGATAGAAAGCATTTCTTTTGTGACATTCTGATTGCTGGCTGTTTCTCAACACTTCCCTTGTTTCAATCTTTGTCTAAAGATGTTCATTTTGGTAAAGTGGATGAGAATAAAGTACTAAATACACTAATGTAGAGAACAAACTGACTATATTTTAATTTCTTCTCTCATGAATAATTTAGTCTCTGCATTTAGTTTCCCATTTATTTTAAATATAACTATCTCAAGTTAGTGGAGACATTTTGAAATATTCCTTTTTGTACATTTCACACTGTTTAACTTTACTAAACTTAAATTTGAGTCTTAAAACTTCTAAATTAACATTATATTAGTTGCATAAAAATAGACTTTCCTGTTTGTTTCTCACATGACTATTTCATATAAATACATAATATATAGTATTTAATATATTTCACATATATGTATATATATATATACATATATATATGAGTGCCATTTATCTTTCAAAGTCCCAGCTTTGGTTTTAACATACATTGTAGACCCATGTTTATTGTTAGTTTTAGAATTCACTAGCTTGCAACTACTTTACTATTACCTTTCAGAAATAAATGTATTTACTTCTCTCCAACAATATGCTTTCTAAATATTACTTAAAGGTACTACTCTGAGAGTTTTCCTCCTCAGTTTCCATGCCAATCAAATAAAGATGTTGAATTTAATGTCAGTACTTTTAATTGTGTAGCAAAAACCTTTCTGAGTTCCAGAGCTGTTTTTTAAATAGAGGGAAAAAGATCGTATTGGAAGAGAGAAGCTAGCCATTTTTCTTTCCTAACAACAGTAAGAAAAAAGTGAAATTGTCGAGTTTTTGCACCAAAGTTTTCTCACTTAACAATAATGTTTTGTGAGGAATCCTGAATAAACTGGTAGTAACTACTTCATCTATGTCAATGGTTTCTTGATATTCTATGTCACCCTTTCCTTGCTGTTATTATTGGTGGAGCTTACTTTGTGGTTGGAATATACTTATATTTGTGGGTACTTACTTTGTTTCCAGT